GGGGGGTTTTGAAAAACCGCTTTAAATAATAAGATTACGGTGAGGGTATGGGTGGAGGTGGTGTGTTAGGCGCGCGTTCGTAATAGGCAGGAAAGTGTGCAACAGTCATCGATTTTCTCCAGCCTGATCCGTTGCTACACGACCGTGAGCCCGGCCATCCCAGATACCCATCAGATTACGACGAGGTCCTTCGTCTTACATTGTCCACATGCCATCATTCTTGAAATAAAAACCATCTGACCTTTGCGGTGACTGGTGCAGCCATATTGCATATTTGCTGCTGCAGCGACGTTGCTGCTACTGCCTGCTTCTGGCTGAACCAGATGGAAAAAGCCCGGGATCCAGGTCATCGAGGGTGTCGGGAAAATTGCATTACTTTGCCGTGCATTTTCTGCACTCCTCCACACACTACAACTCGCTTCACGTCAGCGGAAAAATGTTGTTTGCTTTAGGGACAAATCAAAATCCGAAATTCGATTGTAACAGGTCGTTAGTGAAGAAGCAATTTTGTCGAATTGCAGGAAATTCGCTACATGGAAGTTCAATTTTTTGATCGAATAACTGAAGCACATTTTTACCAATAACACACTTTAATGGAAAAAAAATGAAACTAGTATACTGTAACCTTGAACTTAATCCGTTCTGAGGAAAAGGTCGACTTTCGAAACGTTCGAGTTTCCAGTTAACTTTAATGAGATGCATATACCCAAGCTTTCATCATTTACTTCCTTCTGTAGGATTATCAAATCTGATGTTGTAAACACGAACTAACACTGAATTCGATACTAAGGAAACATAAATCTGTCCTTTAAGCAAAACTTATTTAAAATTAATTTGAAAATAGCCATTAATAAAATATATAAAAAAAATAAATTCTCCGAATTGTTATGTAAAATTAATTATATTAATGTTTCATCTTTCAAAAGTCTATGAAAATCCATTTTTTTTAACGTTTTGACAAAGATGTTTGTTTCGTGTTCTATAATTGAATAGGTGTTAGGTTTCGGTATTACAGTAATTAGTATTGTTGGCATTTGAACAATGAGTGATCAGTTGCTTCGGTAATGGAACACTGATTGAAAAGGTTATTTATATGCGTTTAACCATTGAAATTGATGAGGAAGGAAGCGTCGATTGCAGCGTCAATTATTATTAATGCGCTGCGGCTATTGCAATGCATCGACACGAGAAGATCGATAAGTCCAATCTAAAGTTGAAAGTAGTTCTCGGAGGGGTTTGAGGTATTGTTGTGGTCGAGTGGAAGAGAGTTCCACACGGAATGCCGTCGCTTCAACTCACTCAACACACAATGATAGCATTCACGAACACTTTGTAACAATTCAAAGTTTATATGTCGTTCCAAGACCTTCGAACTTCTTGCTGTGTTTTACGAAGTCTTAAGTTTGGATCATGGCTCTAATGAAAATCATGAAGAAACTTTATGAAAAGTATAAATATCTTTAGGTATCAAAATTCTTCAAGTGTGACAAAAAAATGTTAATTTTAATAATAATCATCAAGAATTTTGAAGAAAAGTGAAATATGATAAATCTAATGAGGATTATTAATAAGAAGACAAAAATATGATGGTTATAATGAGAAGAGGCAAACATATGTTAGCTTTAAATAGATTCATGAATGATTAAAAAAATATGATAGTTCTCATGAAAATCATCAATGATCCTCATAAGAAGAAAAAATATGATGTCTTTAATGAGGTTCATCAATAATTTTCAAGAGAGATCAAAAAATATGTTGATCCTAATGAGAATCATCAAGGATTCTCACTGAAGCCAACAGCAACTCACAACAGAATCAATATCCTCAGAAATTAATCGTGCTAATTGATTCAACTTGTGGAAGTCAGGCAGCGCTGATGGCGTATCTGTATTTAATTGGAAATCAGGATTCGGTGCGTGGAAAGCGAACGAATCGATCTATTTTCCAGAGAGAACTTCGCAAAAACCCGAAGTAATTAAACATTCGCTCATACATTATTTGTCCATTAATAACTGGTATTTATGGTATACTAAAGGATAACGTCCAGGGAGGGCTTAAAGGTACACAGAGGATAAGATTACATTGTTTAAACCATGTATCTTCGGCCAAGGTTAAACGTTGGTAACGAGAATACACTTGCAAAGCTTGACCTTGACATTACGCAGCCAACGCCTTCGCCAAAGGAAGGAATTTGGTCTGCATTAAATTGTCTCTCCGAATTTGCTTTATAATATCATATTATTTATTTATTCTAAAGACGAGAAGGTTAAATAAATTATATTGCAAATGGTTTGGAGTGTTCCCATCTATTATTAAATTCGCTGCAGATAACCGAGTATTCCTGTAGAACTTAAATAATTGAGGAGTATCGATGAGGAAAGATGCGACGAGAAACACATATGGGACAAGACATGAATTCGATCAGATTAAACGTATATCGGTAAATGCTGAGAATACTCTGAATTAATAATACGTGCAGCTGGATAATTTAATTATATGTAACAATAATTTGGATGTCACCTGAAGCCTAGCAATCATCGATCCAATACGTTTCACATCCACCAATACTTAAAACATTCAATTTTGAAATATTAAAAAAAATCATTAATAGATTTGTCTCAATAATATAGTAACAATTTTAATAGTTATGTAATAAAACAAATAAATACGTGCACAAAAATGTAAAATGAACAAAAAACAAATCGTATTTCGTTGTGTAAATCGTGTCAAAGTCAAATAAATATATACTTATAAATGCGTAATAGAATTTTTGTTTGTTTGTTGTTTGCTTGAGGTGAAACCTTATAACGAAATAAGAGCAAAGCTGTTTACGTCTCACTGTATAATCAAAGGGTTGTTCAATACTTCTGCATGCGACCGTGACGCTCTTTGATAGAATAATCAATTTATGTAGAACGTTTTATATAAAACTTTGTTCATCTGTGAACAACGTGACTCCCACGCACATTTAATGTCGCTGCGAGCAACGTGGATACACTTCATTCTGCATGGATAGACCAGACCAATCCACAGCTGCACATGTTACTAATAATAAACATTGATCCGATAGGCATGTTTTACCAATTTGTAAATGAAATAAATTATATATATATAAAATTTTCACAATTTCATAAAATCTTGCAAAATTTTGTTATAATAAGCAATTTCGTTCTGCGTTTCTTTTAGTAGTTTAGTCCATCAAAAACTACTCAATAATTTATTGGCTTCAGTCCAACTCATTAATTATTGATTTAACTTAACATACAACTATAGACATTCGTGTCTCCTCTTTTTGTGAATTAAGGTGCCCCATGAAGAAAACGCAATGAGTATTTAAGGATTAAAGACGATATAATGGATTTAATTAACTCAAACGGATAGCCGCTTCTCGTTTTCAATTTAATTATACTGGCAATCATTTCAACAACTAGGATATACAATTACATAATGTAAGCGGCGAGTTTCGCGTTGCTTAGGAACAAGCCACTTCCTCATATCAAATTACTCTGCTTCATTTAGGGAATTGGGACTAATTAATATCAAATATTTTTAATTTTAATCCTATTAAGACAAAGCCTGTTTTCGATTTTATTTTCATTTACTTAATGCTCTATTTATTTATTTTTTTTAATATAGTATCATCATCGTAGTAGCCCCAAAGAGAATTTACATTTTCTCTTGGCTTGTCCCCCTTGGAATTGTGGGCCCCACTCAATATTTATGCTCGGGGCCTCAAAATCCTAAGTACGGAACTGATCCTCATCGAGCATCCGCTCTATATAATTATATAAATTGGTATATTACATCATTTAAAGAAGCTGAATTTCATGTACAAGTGATCATTAATTCAAGTATACGCTTAAGGATAAACGCAGAATGAAAATATTTAAAGCTTCTCAGGGATAAAACCAACTTGAATATTGTTCCTTATAAAAATCTGTCAACTAAAACTGAAAAGTAATCATTATGGTTAACCTTGAAACTTTATTTTGTAGGTAAAAAATAACTTATATTAGATAAGCAACTAAAAATGATATAATCATTGCTATTGAAACTCTCAGAAGTTTTATTTATCAGTTTATTACACTACTTCACATAAACACTACTTCAAATAAACAAAATGGCACGTGCACACCTCGCGTATATTTTTATACGAAACGTGCGTATACGAGAGAAATGCATGTACATATGTAATTGTCAGGCATAGTCTGGTTACATCATCCTGTGGATAGAGTATATCTATCGTATATCTATCATAAAAACAAGATTATTGGATTAGTTTCGTGGTTATATTCCTCGGAGTGAGCATTAAATGAAGATACTTATCCTTGAATGAGTCTCAATCACTCGTATTTTAGATCCACTTAAATGCATTTGCCAGAATTACTAAACTATAGTAAAGTACCAGACAAAACCATCTGAAAAATATATATCTAGAAGTTAATACTTTCGAAAAAAATGAGATTTTAGAAGACTTCAATCATTGTGGAAAGAAAATATCCAAAAAAATATATCTATAAATAATCGAAATATTTGCAAAATATGATTTTTTCTTAATATTTACAATATCCTCAAAGCCTTCAATCATTGTAAAAAAGAAGGTGACAATATATTTCTACAAATTTGACGAAAATTTATAAAATTTGATATTTTTGTCTCAATAAGTACAATAAAATTAAATTAAATTAAAGAAAACAAGTTTTGCTTCAATATTAGAAAATTAGTACTTACCAGTAAAAAATAATCTATACTTATATTTAATGTGTAATACAGTAAGATCTCGTTTATATCGTTTCATTTCCTCGATTAACGCTGATTGGATATAACACGATTTACTTGAAGACTAAAATTTATTTAAAACTCTTACTAAGTGCTAAACGAGGTCTTTCTGTACATTTAAGTAAAAGTATAGCAAGTAAAAGTTAAATGGAAGATAATTTGTTAAAAATATTAGTTTCCAATAAAATAACATTTGCCATAATCAAGGAACTTTATTTTAATATATTTGGAAGCTACATATAAATACTTGTGAATACTTAAAAGTAGTATAACAATAAAATTAAAATTGCTTTGAATTAAGCGTAGATTCACTAATATAGAAGAAGATCAAAACTTACAGAATATGAAAAAGTACAATTTATAAATAAAATAAGACAACGAATAAATAAGCTTAAAATGTTTTTTTTGCGTTGGATGGATTTGTAATATTGAGATCAAGATGTTACTTCGTCAGTCGCAAGGAAAAAGAAATTGATTACGAAGCGTGTTTTCTTTGTACCTAGAATCAATCGAAAATATTATTCAAAGTAAGTGAATCAAATATTCGATCTGATTTGTTTCCATCCTCGCTGCGACCTTTAATGGAGCAGACGTATAACGTTAATAGAAAGTTGGCTCCGGGAGAAAATTGGATTCGACAGCAAACGTACAGAAATATAATAAAATATGGGAAACGTACGATAAAGTTTTCCGTTCGCTTCGCTGAAGAATATCGAAGAAGTATATTTATCCAAAGACAAATAAATTCAACAACAGCAACAAAAAAAAAACAGGACGAACCTCGAGTTTTTATGTAATCCGAGGTGAGCGATCCAATTAGTCGACGGTCGGATAAGAACGCCGGCCGGTTCAAAAGAACAATTCCTTTTGATATTATTTAATGAATTATGATGCTAGCACGTGGCCTAGACTTCCCTTGGAAACTAAGCTCCCTTGGAAGCCAGGAATACTAATTAGTCCCGGCAGCAAACTCGTGTTATTAAATTCGCGTTTTATTACATAAGCTGGATTTCGTTCACTCCAACACACACATTATATATATATAGATAGTTATATACTTGTATATATACGCTCACTTATGTAGTAAACTCCAGTTTTGCGATCCCATATGGAATAAACAAGGACGACATTGACTTTAGAAGAAACCATCGATCCAAAACAGCTGCCTTGCCTGTATGAGCTCCCAGAACCTGGCCGAAGGACCTGCGGCGCTATTTGATGCTCCATCGTCACTTGAAAATATATGTACTCCCTTATGTACACATACATTAGATATTACGTATCATATATACATATACATACGTATACATATATTCGCATTCCCGTCTAAACATCCATATCAACATAACTTGTATTGGAATTCGTCATATCCATGCTCGAACTGGCTATATTATTCCAGTCGCAGTTTATCCCTTTTCTTTGATCTAAAGCGCTTCTTGTTATTGTGATTGAAAATGGACCACCTGTTAACCTACATTATAAAATATAATAGATTTTTATATTAAAAGTTAAATTACAAATTTAATATATCATACAGTGGCACCTCATTTAACGATCAAAACAAATTGTAACAAAAATAACTCGCTTAACAAGCGACTGGAACACAAGACAATTTAAGCCATTCCCGGGAATTTTCGGGACTCGAGAAATTAAAACAATAATTTAAAACCCCTACTTGTAAGATATAATTTTATTACGTTCTATTCATTCTACTATCAATTTATTAACTTATTATTGTAATATATCTGATTTTAGATCCTATGAAAAAAAAAAACATTATAGTTTATATATTTATATAAAGTTTATATTTATTACAACTTCAAAAATATGCGTCTATAATACTTCAATATTATTGAGCTGAAATCCAACATTTCTATAGCTTATTTGAATTTAGTTGGACTATTAACGAAATAAAGAAACTCATTTAATTCCTATTTCAGTACAATTAACTTACCTGTTTTTCAATTGAGCAAGAAATTCTATTGAAGATTAACCTGAAAAATAAAATAAAGTCAATTTGATTAATCAATACAAACATTTAAAAAATAATCAATAATGTTGATTATTTGTAATTTAACGTTAATATAATTTTATTTATTTTTAATTGATTGAATGGTCTATATTTACTCAAAACCTTATTTAAATAGATGTTATTTAATAATAAGGAGAATATACATCTGTTTTAGAAATTTAATTTGTGATCGATTGTTAACTATAAATAATTAGAAGATTTATAACTAACCTACAATTATCAATAAGTGAACTGTACATTATATAATATTAAACTGTATTTAATCGAAGGTAAAGAAAAATATACCGATTCGTTTCTGGTAGATTTAATTTGTGATAGTTATAGTATTCAATTATTATAGATTTTGGAACGGATATATACTTTTATGGTAAAACTTATTTAATTTAGTATCGATCGTTGCTAAACTACAGTTGAAGTATAATATGGAAATACCGAATAATTTTATACCTTAAAATATGAAGAAGATGATAAAAATGCAGAATATTTATAACATTTTATGGTGAATTTAGTTTGTCATGGATAATAGTATATACCAATATACAAAAGGTTAGGTTAGGTAACTAATATGAGAATATTAATAATCAGATGTTCCACCTTCGGGATCACACTTTACAGCAAATAAGCGATGGATTAGGTGATAATTAACTATTCATTAAAACATAATAAGAAGATGAAAATACCGAATGTATTTTAAATACAAATAAGTATTAAATGTAGTAAGTATATTAATAAGCTGAAATACTGCAGTATAAATAACTTAAACAGTAGATTTTAAATCAATTAGGTTAATATCCAGTAGTTCCACCTTAGTTGTTGCACGACACATCAAATAAGCTGTTTATAGGTGATAATTAAGTATTCATTAAAAGTTAATGGGAAGCTGGAAGTACCGAAGCTTTTAGTGCATCAGCGTTAAGTGAATATAGTTGATGATCGATTGAATGGTAAATAATGGGAAGCTTTGCCTCCGGGCTGCGCTTAAAAGCGAAGCAAAATGTATATCATCATATAGCTGAAATTACAGTAATTACGAGGAATGCGCTGCGAGAATCCAGGATAGCACACGTTGAAAAGGTCAAACCGGGAAAGGGTTTTCATGGAAAATTATAATAATGCACATAGAGATGAATCGCAGGTAATTAGCGAGATAATTTAATGTACTGTTAAATGTCAGTAAGCTTCGTGCATTTAAATGATAAATAATTGTAACGCGATATTTTAATGAGCAAAATGGAATTCAATAATAATCGAGACAACGTCTGATGAGCAACGTGATCAATCACAATCGTGTTTGCAAAACGGCACGGAAAATAATAATATTTAGTCTGGCTCTTCTCTTCTGTTTTTTTATTCATCCCCACATTATTATTTATTTTTTTTCTCATTACGCTATAATCGCATACACATACACTTATGCTTTGCAAACAAAAACAAAATTATACACATTTACAAAATTAATTGCTCTGTTTTTCTGCCCGCATGTTTACTCCGACTCATCTATTTTGTTTTCTCATTGTTTCTTTTATATGCTCGAACTTGATTGAAAGCTCATTTTAGTAGTCCAATCAAATTTCTGTCTACATTTTGTTTGTATTTCATTAAAAAGTTTGTTAATTAAAAAGTTTTATTACTAGAAAACATTATTTCTGTTCAACTAAAATACGTATTATTGTGTACAAAATGTGCAAAAAGTATTGAAGTTTTATGATAAACAAATTAATAACAATTAAATTATGACTGGGACATTTTGGTTCTATTCTATCCATTATAGTTTCTGAGAATATCACTAAAATGTGTTAATTTTGAATTATTTCACTTACGAAAGCAGCCAAATGAATAAAACCACAGCAAAATTTGAGAATGCGCTACATTACCCAAACTTTCATATACATCTTATGTATCTATTTTATATATTGTAGATTCAAAGAATATCACTAAAATGCGAAGACACTGCTTTTTCGAGCGTTAATTATTAATTATTTCACTTATGAAAGCAGCCAAATGAATGAAACCACAGCAAAATTTGAGAATGCGCTATATTCCCCAAACTTTCATATACATATTCTGTATGTATTTTATATATTGTAGATTCAAAGAATATCACTAAAATGTGAAGACACTGCTTTTTCGAGCGTTAATTATTACACTTATGAAAGCGAATTACAGCCAAATTTTTAACTAAAAAATATTTGAATTGGAAATATTTGGAGAACGGCCCCACAGGTAAACTGCTGCAGATGCATAATCTGGTATACATACATTTACCCTGTCGCAGTTCCGGAATAGGTAAATAGGACATTGTTAAAACACACGGTAAGACGAAGTCCGGACAAGGCTAAGCTATAAACTGTAAGGTAAATTTATTTAGCAGCCGGTGGATTACACGCAGTACTCGAGACTATCTAAAATTAAACAGTTTAAACACTGCAGAATAGCAGAACGAGACCGAATGAATGCATAATTACCGAAAATCAATTGTTTTGCGAGCGTTCGCCGCAAGAGCCTGTGAATATTATTCATATATCGATCTCGGTTTTTAGCGAAGGGCGGATTCGAGGGCACACGCTCTACGCCCTCGTCCAGCCTTTCGTGAGACTTGTCGTTTTATTTTTTTTTCATTACTGTGTTATTATTTTGAAAGTGTATGTACGTACGTAATTTTACTTCCGTCTAATAATTAATTTCCGTGATTATTTAGTTTGTTGTTTTTTTTACTGAGATGAGCCTGGATAGTCATCAAGCAACGAGTTTTCCCATTTCACCTCTATTTCAATTAAAGCGAAAATCCAATTTACTAGACGGAATAGCTACGAAATTAAGCGCAGTCAAATAAGAAATCATTTCCTGCTGAAATTATGATCGATATATAAAATGTATGTGAAATTCTGTTTCTGATCAAATAATATTTATTGCAACAATAAAAAAAAATATTCTCATAAATTTCATCTCACACTATTAAAAACTAATTTGAGTCTCAATCAACACATCAAAGCGTTTTTGTGTTATTATTGAAATTGCAATATAAAAATATTAACTTATGATAAATTGTGTAAATTTAAAATTTTCAAATTCTTATAAATAATAAGATATTTTTTTTGTTATAAGTAAATTAAATTATGTAACAACAATAGTAAAATTTGAAGCGAAAAAACAAAAATTTGAATAATTATGAAGACGAAAAAAAAATTGGTTCAAATTTATTTATTTTTATTTCTTCCAAGAAAACAACAAAATTACAAGACATACATATTTAATACATTATCTCAGTATATCAGCGTTTCTAAAAGCTTTTGATAAATATTTTATAATCCAAATATGCTTGGATGTTGATGCTGGAAATATGAAATATGCAAATACGTGAAATCGATTGCGTATAGTTTTAGCTTTAATTTGCATAATCTGCATTAAATCCATTATTCGGTAAGATGAACGAAACAAAAAAAAATATCGTTAGTTTGACATACAAATAACATTACGTCTATTAATGGAATAATTTACGAAATCTCTAAAATATATATAAAAATAAAATTATAAATAAATTGAATGGAATCCGAAGATTATATAACGAGCAGAGAAACTGTCTCCAGCGCTCGGTTACGTGACGCAATTAAATCTTTTCAGTGTTATCTGGTAGTTCCAAGACGTCGAAGTAGACGTGTTCCGACATGCGGGACCGGAATTGTTACGTGACAAGTGGATTTTGCACCGCAGCGATACCTGAAGGAGGAAACAGGAATGCTAGTTTTCCTTCCTTTTTGCAGAAAAATAAAGAAAAATACATATTGTAGCTCTTAACTATAACATCCCTATCTCAATATAAAATCAATATAATTATATACATCGAAACTAGTAAATTTTGTTCCGATTAAGCGGAGCCGAATATTCACACACGACTACTGTCCCGATTAAAAGAAATATTGTCATTACATTTTCAAAATGATATTAATGTCATTCGCGAAATTTAAGTAAAACTTAAATGAAATAATATAGAAAAAAGACTTACGAAAAAAACTGTTGAGATCATGGGACAAATACATTTTTCAGGTGAATCAATAAATACTAATCATTTTAAAAATAATTGACCATAAAACCATTTAAAATGTTTACTACTACTTTAGTGTTTAAACAAACTTGGAAAATAAAATTTTAGTTTATGAGATTTTTTTAGTCCACTTATCAAAATCCACTTATCAATATAAATAATCAAACTTATCAAAAATATATTAAATTATTTTTAGCAGTTTATATAAAAAAAAATCATATCTAATAATAAATATTGATAAACAAATAAATGATATAAGTATAAATTTTCAATATCTAATCAAACTAGAAACATAAAATTTTAATCTAATTGAAAAAAAATCTAATTTATATAATGGAAACCCGTTTATTGCATTGAAATCGTATAAATTGCAATATCTTAAATGACTTTGATTGTATAGCTTTTTCCTTTAGAGCCCACAAAGAAGAGTTGAAATTACACTGAGTAAACTTATTTTTTTTTATTAAAAATAAATATCGTCCAAGATGATAAAAAAAATCGGTAGACGATAGAAGTCACCAACATCAATTGGTAAAAATCCACTCTCAACTGGAATACCATTTGATAAATGTGATTGTGTTCGTAAATAATTCATTATAAAAATCGAGCTGCGTTGAAAGAAAATGAATGTGTAAATCATTTAACAATATCGATAAAAAAATTATATTCAATTCTGTTACAAGCAAACATTTTAAATACACACATGATTTGTAATCAAATTTAGTTTATACTAAAAAGTTGAAAAATGCATTATTTGTTAAATTCAACAGAATTCAACAAATAATGCAGTCAGTCATTACTTCAACTTTTTAACATGCCAAGTGGGATATTATTATACTTTTCTAGGAAATGTCCAGGAAAGAGGAATTATCCTTTAATTTGGTTGGTATATCAAAGGATGAATCTTAATAAGTTGATTCAGTTCACATAACGTAAATTTTAGAATTTCTGGCCCCTCGATGAATTAAACATTAATATTTTTTTGAATAATTTCAGAAATTATTTCACTTTTAACAAATGGACTAACTAAATTATTTTTTCAAAGAAATGAAAGGACTAAATACATTAAACTTTAATATTAAAAAAATCTGTTCACTGCTTTCAAAGAAGAAATAAAGGACTACATTTAAAAAAAAAAGGATTTTTTTTTACTTTCTTAAAGAAAGAATGAAAGGACTTAATGCTGTTCCTATCTAATCCACAATTAATTCATTAATACAATTACAAACTTTACTGTTGTGAATAGTGAAAAAATACAAAAAAAAATGTCTCGACATTTCAACATCGAATTAAATTTTTATATTCCTTGAATAAGCGGAGCGTTTTTACGTCTTAAGGTATTTTATAAGAAAACCAATATTGCCTTTATGAAGTTTACTTTTATTCCTCGTGCTTTCGGCTTTGATGTACACAATACAATCACATTCTCCAATACACCTACAATGGGTTTCGCGCAACAATAAAACGTGCGTTTTATTCACGTTGAAAACGTGATCTTTATATTGATATTTCAATCATATCTAAATATAGTTTCCGATTTAACCTAGAATTTCAATGTAATGATAATTAATGACTAATTTTAAATCATTAATAACCATAAATTTGAAAAATAATGCTTCTACAAAAATTATATATTAAAAAAATTACTTCTATTTTAATATTTTATATTTGATTATTATAAAAATATAATTTAGAACAGTGATTCCCAAAGTGGTCTATATTGACCCCCAGGGGTCTATGACAACCTGCAAAGGGTCTACGTCAGCGAAAAAAAATCTGGGGGTCCATTAAATGAAAATGGGGGTCTACGATAGTGGATCTACCTATTTACTTATATTATACTATCTTATAATATAAAGACATATACATTATTTATAAAAGTACCTATGAAGTAAAAAAA